GAAAAATCTTTCTTCAACTTTCAAAGCCTAAACCAGCATGCCTCCATTCTATGAAGTCTTATCAATATCCCATGCTATCCAGAAGTTTATATTTCAAAATACAGTCTAGAAATAATGGACTCACCAAACTAGTCCCAAAATAATCAATAGTTCTTAGACTATTGTTTTCACTATAAATTTCTCTAGAAGCCCTATAGTTAAAGCATGAGTTTTTCTCTACATCCTACTTATAAAGTGTTTATAAGTAGTAAGTTATATTATGTTTTCACCTAAATGAATTAATTTGTTCTCAAAGAATGATTGTCTGGTTTTTTAGCTATTTCCTTTTTTTATACAAAAGGATATAGCAACATCAAATTAATGTACAATGTTTAACTTTAGGTGACAACTCACCCAATTTTACAACAGAAATTAAACTGAACCAAATCTTTTCTTTCCCAACATGTAATTAAATTAAAATTGGACTCTAATCCCAAGAGGCTATTTTATTCTTCAAAGTGGACCATCTCGTAAATCCTATTGACTAATTTACTTTGACATCTAGACAAGAGAGATATCAATAGTGCATAGCTCACAAAATGTCAGTAACACAAAACTTGTTTTTAGACTAAACTATTGCAGTGGTTAAATGACTCTGAGAATGCTAATTGGCAATAAGGATCAAACTAACTAAAAATGTTTTATAATGGGAAAGTTAGAAAAAAATAATATAAACCAGTATATAATTATCTATGAAGAATTGGAAGTGGACCTCCCATACCAAACAATTCCCCTGATTCCTAATACAGGTTGAACATCCCCAAATCCAAAAATCAAAAAAATTATGCTTCAAAATCCAAAACTTTTTGAGTGCCTATGTGACATCACAAGTGAAAAATTCCACAGCTGACCTGCTTACAAGCATTTCGGACGAGATATACTCAGACTGTAGAATTATGTGTAAAACACATATAATATTATAATATTATATATATAATATTATAATATTATATGTGTTTTACACATAATTCTACAGTCTGAGTATATCTCGTCCGAAATGCTTGTAAGCAGGTCAGCTGTGGAATTTTTCACTTGTGATGTCACATAGGCACTCAAAAAGTTTTGGATTTTGAAGCATAATTTTTTTGATTTTTGGATTTGGGGATGTTCAACCTGTATTAGGAATCAGGGGAATTGTTTGGTATGGGAGGTCCACTTCCAATTCTTCATAGATAATTATATACTGGTTTATATTATTTTTTTCTAACTTTCCCATTATAAAACATTTTTAGTTAGTTTGATCCTTATTGCCAATTAGCATTCTCAGAGTCATTTAACCACTGCAATAGTTTAGTCTAAAAACAAGTTTTGTGTTACTGACATTTTGTGAGCTATGCACTATTGATATCTCTCTTGTCTAGATGTCAAAGTAAATTAGTCAATAGGATTTACGAGATGGTCCACTTTGAAGAATAAAATAGCCTCTTGGGATTAGAGTCCAATTTTAATTTAATTACATGTTGGGAAAGAAAAGATTTGGTTCAGTTTAATTTCTGTTGTAAAATTGGGTGAGTTGTCACCTAAAGTTAAACATTGTACATTAATTTGATGTTGCTATATCCTTTTGTATAAAAAAAGGAAATAGCTAAAAAACCAGACAATCATTCTTTGAGAACAAATTAATTCATTTAGGTGAAAACATAATATAACTTACTACTTATAAACACTTTATAAGTAGGATGTAGAGAAAAACTCATGCTTTAACTATAGGGCTTCTAGAGAAATTTATAGTGAAAACAATAGTCTAAGAACTATTGATTATTTTGGGACTAGTTTGGTGAGTCCATTATTTCTAGACTGTATTTTGAAATATAAACTTCTGGATAGCATGGGATATTGATAAGACTTCATAGAATGGAGGCATGCTGGTTTAGGCTTTGAAAGTTGAAGAAAGATTTTTCACAAAATAAATAAAGAAACATTCTAATACTTTATGTGACTGAAAGAGCCTTGAATATAACATTATAGTCTAGCCATGGATCATCACTGATAGTTTAATTACTCCTATGTCTTACATATTTTTCTCCAAAGTTTAATCAACTGGTATTGATTCTAAAAGAAAAGGCGAAGTTATTGGGCTTCAGTTCATCCCACCACATAAATTGTTGAAAAACACTTGCAGGTCACTCTTGTAAACGGTGATATTCTATTGGAGCCTATATATTCAAAAACATTGTGGAAAGCACAGGTGTAAATGAGCTGGAAAGATGATGAATTTCAAAAGACTTTGAAGGATAGTTGTAGTTTTTGAATTCCAAAGATAAGAATATGAATTCTGATGAACAATACCATCAGAATGGACATGTACAAGAACTGAAATTTGGAAATTTCCAGAGGAATAAAACCGAAGGAGTATAATTGTATGCAGAAAGAGTTAGCTTTCATGTTGTGTTATAGTAGAATCAGCAACAAAGGCCCTAATAAAAAGATACTAGTTGTGGTAGCAGTTTGGTCACCTACTAGACATTTTACTTAGAAAAGTCACTTTGCAATTCTGATCATTTATGCCCTCGTCTATAAAACGTGATTCAAAATACCAGTTCCCTGGAGTTCATGGGATTAAGAAAGTAAATTATTTGCATTTTTAGAAAAATAAAAAGCTCTAAGACAGTTTTTATTTTTTATGCACCCTGTTATAAGTAAAGCCCATCATAAAACATACGGCATATGAGTTATTACTAAGGAACAAAATTAGCAGATGGCAAAGCCCAACTTCTGGCTATAACAATTAAAGCTACTTTTGTAGGGAGAATAAGCTTATGCCTACTTGGACTTCAAGAAGCAGTCCTCTAAATAATGGTTTTTCCAAATCGAAGGAAAGCTTTCTCATTGGCTTAAGGATTGTTGGTTTTCTACAGGCTTTGTAGTCAGACACACAAACTCTAAAACACTACCTTTTTAAAAATACTTTTAAACCACCTTAATGGGGTATGATTTACATACAAAAAAAGCTGTCTATAATGTGTACAACCTGGTTAGTTTGCAGATAAGTGTACACCCATGAAACCATCACTACAATCTATGCCTTAAATATGTCCACCCCCAAAAGGTTGCTCCTGCTTTCTTTATTTATTATTGTTACATTCTGAACAGAAAACAACATAAGATCTACCCTCATACCACATGGTTTAAGTGTTCAGTAGAGTATTGTTAACTATAGGTACTAAGCTGTACAGTAGATCTCTAAGATCTATTCATCTTGCATAATTTTATCTTTGTTTCTTTGACTAATTCCTCCCCATTTTCCTCTTTTAGTACCTGGAAACAACTATACTATTCTCTGCTTCTATGCTTCCTCATCTTTAATGTTTCCACTAAAACACTACCTTTCATTTTTAAAACTAAAGATTAGTAAATGCATTGTATAAATATATCTGCATAAATGTATATGAAATATATGATGATAGTTAAATATATGTAAAGAAAAGGATGCAACATAGATCGATATAGATATAACTATCAAGCAGAGTCTTCCTGGATTATTTACTCATTTGCTGAAAGGAACTCTGGATGTGAGCTAGTCTTTCTGGAAGAAAATAGGCCAATTAAGTTAAGGTGCTATGAAATTTCACAGAAACGTTGATGAGCATGTAGAATTTGGACTTGTCAAGGTCTCTTTTATCTGGTCCCTAAGCTGGCCTGCATAAATTATATATTTTTTTTTATTTTCTTGGAGGGTTGCCACATGGAGCCTGTATAAATTATGAGTATAATTAAGCACATAGACTGGAAGATCAGAACCTAATTTTTAGATACGCCTCAGGTTCTCTTCTGAGGCTTTGCCTGGAAGCCAGGGAAGTTCTCCCTGCCAGAGGAAATAGATATAAAATAATTTCTTCAAAATATAAAGGTTTTCTACCTTTGGATGAGCTGATTACTTGGGGTGGGATGGAGCTGCTATTCTCAAATTACCCAGCTTTAAAAAGCAGCTGATGGGTCCGAAGGCTCTCTGTAGGACCAGAGCTGATGTATGTGCCTCTTCTCACTGCTCTAATCCCAGGCCCAGGAGACCCATTTAGTGTGAACTCTTCATTCCTAGCACAAGTTAGACCTTTAGTTCCATCCTTATGAATTTCTCAGTGTTTATTCATGACTTTTAAGCCTCTTTACTCATCTTCTTCCTAGTCCCCACCCACCCGCCATTTCTCATGGACTTGGCATGCAGATCACACTTTCCTCATACTCTCATACAAACCTCATTTGACCTGGTGGCTGTGTTGCCTTTGTTCAGCACTTTAGAATAGGTGGCCCTGGATATAAGGCAGACACTGGGTATTTAATGAAGGTATTGATATTTTTCTTAGTTTTGATCTAGGGAAAGAAAGCCTTGGTCCAAACAAAACAAACTCTTAGGTACTAAATTCTATATATTCAGCAGCATATTTAAATTGAAACAAATATATCTGATGGATTAGAGATTTAGCATATTTTTCTGTCACCCCGATTTGATTAGGAAGTTTGAATTCTAAATCACAAGATCTCTAAAATAATTTGTTTCTTTCCTGAAACCCAGTCTGTCTTATTATAAGCCATGTATATTACTGACAGTATTTCTAATAATTATATTTCAATTTTTTATTTTCATTGTCAATGGATATTTAATTTATTTAATTGAATTTTAGAGAAAATTATTTAAATGAGTATAGGGAATTATTTAAGTGACAGTGAATGCCAATAAGAATTTTCTTTCTTATAATCATAGGCTTGTAGTTTACTGTTGTTTTCTTTTTAACAAAACCTGATTTTTTTTAATCTTATACTTTTTTATTTTTTTTTCTCATGCCATGTTTGGTCATTTTAGTCATATCTTAGTTCTATTATTGTATTGACAAAGATGTATTCAATTTCACTAATTATTAAAAGATGTTCAAATTTTATTGAGGTGATTTAAAGGCAGTGGCTCTAATTTGGCTTACTGAATTCAAATATGCATGTAATGATTTGTTTTTCTATTTCTTTAGATAATCCAAAATCTACTCTACCTCTCTTCATTTGTAATACCTTCAAATATCACACTTCAAGGTTTAGTGACTAGGCCTAAAGATTTCACATATAATCCAAAGAAATCTGTTCAAGTGGACATCTATCAACAGGTAAAACTATGCTTTTAACTCTGTTTTTCTTGTCTATGCTTACAAGTTGTGCTTGTTAAAAGAAATAAGACACAACTGATATAAATTGTATTAAAATATTATAGAATTGAGCATAGGAAAAAAAGGCATGAAACCAATGAGTGTGTATGACTTGGATCTTGACAACTGGTCAACTCAAGAGTCACTAATAAGGCAGACGTAACAATGTTGGAATTATAATTTTTGAAACTGATTGGTTCTGGGTCTGTTTTCTAATGGATCAGTTAAGAGATCATAAGATGTCATTTTATATGAAGAAAAACAAAAGAAGTAGTAGATAAGAAAATGAAGAAGTATATGAGTGGCGCCTTGCACCCTGGAGCCCACAGTTATCATTCAAATCAAGGAAATGTGCTGAAAACAGAGAGTAAAATATCATATAAATGAGAAATAAATTGATGAACTGTGGGAAAAATGTAATGCAAAAACAGAAAAGATTGAGGAGAAAAAATGCTTAATATGTTTTTTATTTAAAGGCAAGTATACTTTTGAAAGGAACGATTTGTGTAGCATCTAAGAAAATAGCTTCACTTTTATAACAAAGCAGAAACAATTTGAGTAGTTGACAATTCAGAGAATGAACATGCAGTACATTAGAAAAACATGAATTTAATAGGGAATATAAATCAGAATTCCTCGGTGATACTCCTTCAGACCGGAATCTAGAGAAATGTGAAACAGCTGATTATCTATGGAAGGCTGATGTGCAGGTCACCTATTGTCATTCAGAATTGTTAAAGAAAGAACATTTGTGCATTAAAATATGTCTGGGAATATGATTGATACTTAGAGGACGTGAATATGTAGTTGTGTGCATGTGCACACGCATGTGGATGCACATGTGTATGTGTGTTTGAGATAGAAAAATGGGAGGAGTCAAAGGAAGGGCTGGTAGTGTATGCTATAACTATCCATTTTTACTCCTTTCAGTTTTTCCGATGCTTCCATTTTTTTTAGTCCTTTTCTGAATTTGGATGATGGCCTCATCATTTACTTGTATATACCATATATACCATAGTCAAGATACATTTAGCAAATATTCCTTTCCTTTACTTTTCATTTAGGATATCATCTAAAGCCAACCTCTTCTCAGGCACTTATACCATAATTGCTACCAGCATTTGCCTTGAGATTGCTGCCCCTGTCTAGAAAGGACTGTTAAAACAAAAAAAAGTCTGCCTCAAACAAACATATAGGGGGCCTAACATTTTATTCTGATTTATTTCTCTTTAACTTCATTACAAAACAAAACCTGAAACTTCATACTTACAGAGATAAAATGACAGCGGATGGCATAATGGGTGAAATTTTTGTTTCAAGTTCAAATATTTATAGCTATTTATTGATCAATTTGTCTTTTATTTACCCTATTATATGCTAATAACTATACTGAGAACTTGGAATGCAATAACTGCCTTGTTATCTTAGAATCTGATGGGAAAGATGGATAGTGAATAAATCAGTGGAAATGTTATTTGAAGGCAAAAATATTGTAGCTGTTTCCAAATTATTCATTGGGAGAATGAGGAATTTGGAGAAATCTATGTTTTCCTATGATTCAAATTGAAATCAGAACTATAAGAAAAGTACTTATTACAATAGCTTATAATATTGAGATAAGGTAAGAATCTAAACAGTCCTGAATTTTTTATGAAATAATTTAGAGAATATTAACCAGTGAAATATTGTTAAAACTGATTATGCAGCTATTTGTGATTTTTAAAGAAATCCAAATAAATGAGAAATTCAAATCTTAGAACTCTACTTCTATACAGCACATTTTAATTAAATTTATATACATAAATATATACACACATTGAATATACATATATACAGGTAAATATTTACGCATTTGTTGTTTCTTCAATTCTAAGAAGCACGTATTTCACATTTTAACATCTTTGAAGTCAGGATGTCTTACACTGGATGGCATTTTATGATCATTGTTGCTAATGTTGCCTATGCCTATGCACATTTTAGTGATTGTTTCTGATCATGGTTGGACAGTTTCAGTCTTTTGATATTTCAGTCAATAAACCATTTGTGGACCATTAGAGGAAGGAATATAAGTTCTGTTGTTCACTGAGTATCTTCTGTTGATATTTTCTGGTAAGACGAAGAACATCAGTGTCAAAATTTAAAGTGGTGTAAGCAGCCTGAAAGAAATTCCTAGAGACAGTAATGGAATACTCTGTAGAAATGCCAAACCGTGGATGCTCTTTATAGGCCAGAGGAGGATATTGTGTAAAAAAACACAGCTATTGCAAACTGTGATTCAAAAAGCGATTCAGAAGAATCATAATCCGATTGTGAAAATATTTAGCAATACTTAATGAGTTGGAAGTTGTTTTCTTTTAGTACATATTTATACATATAATTTTGATGTAAAAAATTGCTGTCATTTTCAATTGGATAAAATGTATTATGTAAACATATATAACTGAAGCTATAGCGGAGTATATATAGCAGAATATATTCACCAGTATGTCTATAATAGTTTACTCTAGTGTTAGGATTGTGGGTGATTTATATTTTTTTATGTATTTTTTATTTTTTAAATTTTTAAATTATTAATTAGTATTTATATCATTGGCAAATGATAAATAGTTACTTATTTTAATCTTTAAGTGAAAATGTATTCTAAATTTGTAGGATAATTACTGAAGTAGAAATATGATGCATAAGTGTCCAAATTTTAGAAGGACAAGTTGGAAGCTTTCTTCCATTGGTGTAAGCATAACTAGTAAAATACAAGAACTGGTGTTTAAAGAACAGAATGGCTCTAACTACATGAAAAGATACTCAAAAGTATTAGTGATCACAGAATGCAAATTAAAAGCACAATGAATTTTTTCATGTCTACTGCATTAGAAAAAATTTAAAAATTATGCATTGATCAGGATATGTGGCAAGGAGAACTCTTATGCACTGCTTGTTTCAGTGTAAATTTCTACAATAAATCTTCTATAATTCCTATCCAGTATCTGCAGAATTGTTTACACAAATGCCCCAAGAGAGAAAAGTACAGGAATGTTCATAGGAGCATAATGACATCTAACTGGAGACAGTTCAAATCTTTATATATACTTAGGTATGGGTTACATATAGATATAGATACATACACATGTATATTCAAAAATGACGTATGGTCAATCCTTATTATGAGTGATTCCATATTTGTAAATTTGCATATCCACAGAAATTTGTGATTCACAGCACTTCTGCAATTATTTGCTGACATGCACAGAACAGCAAAAAAAGTTGTTATGCAACACTTACATTCCCAGCTGAGGTCAAACAAGGCAAGACCCTGCCTTCTGGTTTAAGTTCTCATACTGTAAACCAGTATTCTTTTTATAGTCTAATACCATGTTTTTCACATTTTGTGCTTTTTGTTGGTGATCTTGCTGTTTAAAATATTCCCTGAGAGTAATGCTGAAGTGCTGTCTAGCATTCCTCCGCACGAGAAAACTATGAAGTGTCTTTTAGAAAAAATATTTGTGTTAGATAAGCTTCATCCAGACGTGAGTTACGGCACTATTCCCTGTAAGTTTAGTGTCAATGAATCAGCAATATGTATTAAGTAAGGTATCTTTAAACAGAAACACACGTAAAACAAGGTTTTGTATTGATTGGTTGATAAAAATGTGATCAGAGTCTCACAGAAACCTAACCTTGTTTTTCTACTATGTGCAGCGGTTCAGCATTTGGTAATTCAGTGTTCATGGTGACTTTATAGAGCACAGCTTCCATGAATAATGAGAATCAACTGTACTCTGTGACATGAGATTTATAAGTCTATGTACATCATGTCTAAATCTAAAATTATAATATTAAATTAAACTGTTTCCAAGATTATATATGTCATATGCATATTATTACATGCATATAATGTATAAAATGTAATATATACTTGAAATATTAATAATTTATTAAATTATTGTTATTAATTGTTAAGAATTAAATGTTGACTCTGATCTATATATATTTTAGGTAATACAAATTTTATGTATAATATATATTTAGTTTATGTATTATATATAAATTTAGGAACATATAACATATACATACACACACATACATATATGGTAAAAGTATAAATAACATTAACTTAAAAGCCATCATACAATTTGGGATAGTTGTTGCCGTTTGGTAGAGAAAGAGCGATGTGTTCAGAGAGAGACACACAGAGGTGATTTGATTAAAAATGGCTATTGCTATTTTCTGAAGATCCTAAAATTATTTAATATTTTTAGAGAAATTCTGGAGGATTTCACATTCAACCTAAACTATGATTTATTGAACACTGAACTATGTGCAGATCACAAATCTGAGGCAAGCACACACTATTTCATTTAATTCTCACACTACTCTTGTGAGGTAGGTACTCTTCATGCAATTTTTTTTGACACTCAAGATGAGATTGTCATGCAAATTTCACTTTAAGATTTGGCTTTTAAAAGTTATAGCTTCTACATTAAATGTAATAAAAGACATGGAATTTTGAAAGCCACATATATATTTTTTCTCTCTAAAAATGTAATTTTAAGATCTTCACTCATTGTCATTTTATATATAATTTTAATAAAAATTAGGATAATGATAGGTAAATTTGTCTAGTACATATTAGTGATGCCATTTACATGTAGTCTTCTGTCAATGCTCTTAATTACCTTATAAACTAAATATAGGTATTATCCTATTTTTACAGATGACACCACAGATTCAGTTTTATTACTTTACTAAGCGTTACAGAGTAAATGATGGAGCCGGTATTTGTAGCATTTGAAGCTCTTATGCTTAATTTTCATGCCACAAGAGGAAACCATGTAAAGGAAAATAAGCTTAAATATACAATTTCAAAATAAACTAGAATTTTAGAAAATAGAATTGTATATATGTGTGTGTGCATGTGTATATACATTCTCTTTTCTATTTTATTCTTTGTATAGGAGCAAACCAAGTAGAATGGTTTTAAAGGGTCTATAAGTTCAAATTATTTTAATATAAGAGTGTTCCATTTCTTAAGGTGGAGCGTATTTAAATGCTGAGAAAATTCTAATTCATAGAATTTATACTAGTATTGACACCTATTTATTGTGTGAGTCTACACACACCTCTTTACTTTCCTATGGGCATAGTTTCCTGTCTGTAAAATGGAAATCCCATATTTATAACATGATTTGAATATTAATGAATTATAACATTTGTATTGATATTATTATTTTAGAATATGGGTTTAAGATTACTTAGAAATGTTATTTATGATCTTTGAAGTGAGTAAAAAATAAATCATCCAGTTGTATTTCTGAATGTTTACTATAGCAGATGTGATAAAAACTACAATAGTTTAAACTCATGAATTAGTAATAAAAGATGGTTTAGTTTTCTTTATGCAAGCAGGAAAACTGCAGAGTGAGGACTTTAAGCCCTGTAACTGTTTTTACATGCTGATTATACAACAAAGAGTAGTTTACCACATAAATGTCCTTTGGTATTTCCTCAGTATTCTTCTATGGTTTCTTTTTTAAATTTTCAAGCAATAAAATAGGTACTTTAAAATATAGTAATAAAATTTAGTAATATATAGATTCAGATACTTTAGACAACTTTCAGAGATCATTTGCTATTTTCAACTGGTTTCACTAACACTTACAATATTTATTTCCTTTTCTTTTTTCCTTAAATATTATACATCTTCAAAGATACTATTTCCAATTCACATGTGATGTAAAGTCATCATGTTAGGTTAACTGAAGACCAAAGAGAAATAAACTTATCTCCCAATTAATAGATGAATTGATAGATAGAAGACAGGTAATTTTTATGTTTCTAAGAAAGCAAAAATGATTGCAAAAGCAAGCTGTACACATGCTGAAGACTACAAACCATCTCAAAATAATTATTGAGAGGTGTGGTATTTTGGGTTGATTTTAGCAATTTTAGCATTTGCACGACATTAACTTATAGAAGTGGCTTTGCCCCGGTTACCGTGATTGACTAAGCTCTACATTATGTGCATTATTTCTTTGTGGTTAAAGCCTTTCATTTGACCTTGTCACTATAGTTTCCATGACATTTTTTGGTAGGCTTCTAACATACAAATGTATACCTACAAAATAAAATATTTCAAGTTATTTTATTCATTTTTTGAAAATTAGATGCCTGTGACCATTTTGATCAATAAGAATACTATAGATATGCAGAGAAGCTGTAATAAAAATGCCAACAATTTTTTTGCTTGCTTTTTGTCCCCCTAAATTACATTACTCGGTAGTCTTATTTCTAATTCTATTTATATTATCTGTAAAGTCAGCAGTGATTAGTAAAATTGAGTCCCTTCCATTACTATTTTACTTGGGTAAGGCTTCTTAATATTTCTGAAATTTGTCACATTTTAAAAATACAAAAAAATACCGGAAAAGGCTTTTATTGAAACTAAATTGAACACTTACTGAAAATAAAAAGCATGTATTTAGCATAATAAGTACACAATATTTATTGAGTGAGATCCCCTTATCCATTTTTGTATACTTATAGATTACATTATAGATTACTTTGAGTATCATGCATTAATTCAATAAGATAAGTAATTTGAACTCTTGAGACTATTCCATCAAATTAATGCCACTGTATCTAAAGCCATATTTTATATCTGTATATTTAGTCAGGAATAACTTTAAATTTTACTTTATTGTATTTTCTTGGGAAAATCAGAAGGATTTACCTTTTTCATACCATTTAACAATTTTTAAAATTTTTTTCACCTGTAGTATCTAATAGAATGGTAGGCACATTTATCAATTATACCTCTACTTCCTATAAAAGAGTAATTTGAGACTGCTTTTTAAAAAATAACCATATATCAAAACATCACATTGTACCCCATAAATATATAATAGATACAAGTAAATATATAAAAAAACTAAATTTTTTGATGTATGAGTATATAAATAAGACATGTAAAATATATTTATAAAAAACATTTTTAAAAATGAGATATTTTCTGTACAAATCATTGTGGCAATTAAAGCTTATTTAGCTATTTTATTTTAATTAAAAAACATTTTAGGGATAGGGCCTCTCTCTGTCACACAGGATGGAGTGCAGTGGCTCCATCAGAGCTCACTGCAGCCTTGAACTACTGGGTGAGTATAGTTAGTAATACTGTATAGTATACTGGTAATTTGCCAACAGAGTAGATTTCAGGTGTTCTGAGCACAAAAAAGAAAAGCGGTAACTCTATGAGGCGAGGGGTATGTTAATTAGGTTGACTGTAGTAATCATTTTTGCTATGAATGTGTATAACAAAACGTTTTACACCTTAAATATATAATTTTTATTTTTAAAAAATAGTGGGGGCCGGAGGTGGTGGCTCATGCCTGTAATCCCAGCACTTTGGGAGGCTGAGGTGGGTGGATCATCTGAGGTCAGGAGTTTGAGACCAACTTGGCCAATGTGACGAAACCCCATCTCTACTAAAAATACAAAAATTAGCCAGGCATGGTGGCACCTGCCTGTAATTCCAGCTACTAGGGGGCTGGGGCATGAGGATCGCTTGAACCTGGGAGGTAGAGGTTGCAGTGAGCCAGTATCATGACACTGCACTCCAACCTGGGCCACAGAGTGAGACTCCATCCCGCCCCCCCCCAAAAAAAAAGTGAGTTAGAGTTGTCTCGACAATCATCAAAAAGCTAGACAACAGAAAGCACTAAAAAAAAAAAAAAAAAAAAAAAAAAAACAGATCATGTCAAAAGGCTGTGCAACCATCACTTCATTCCTTGGCTTAGCCTTAAGCAGGAAGGAAAAATGAGACCAAAATTATCAATTATTGAGGTTAAAACAACTGATGATTGAAGTAGAATATGTATGAGATCTATCTTAGAGCTACGTCTGATGTATAATGTAAAATTGTACTTCAGTTCAGATCTAAATTCTTCACTTTGAGTAATTTTTGTTTCAATAATCACATTAAATTATTTAAATATTTAGCCCACAATAATCAAAGGTATATAACTTGCATTGATTTTTTTTGTACATTTTCTGGTAATTTTCTGAATAGAAGAGTGTGAAAAATATTCATGAAAAATCATATTGTAGTTTTAACTAGAAAGTACTATTTTAGTGACTATCAAGAGTGGTAAACAAAAGGGGAAATAAAATTTAAACTGTTATTTCATTTTTTTAAATATAGATTACTTGAATTTTCATTAGAGGAGCAGAAATGCCACCAATGCCAAGTACCCCACCTCTGCATCCACCTCCAGATGGAGGATGGGGCTGGGTTGTGGTTGGAGCAGCTTTTATCTCCATTGGATTTTCATATGCATTCCCTAAAGCCGTCACCGTATTCTTCAAAGAAATTCAGCAAATATTCCACACTACCTACAGTGAAATAGCATGGATATCATCCATTATGCTGGCTGTTATGTACGCAGGAGGTAAGCTTCTTGCAGTAAATAGAATCCTGAATTAAGAAAATAATTCCTCCGTGTCACAATGTTTTACATATAGTGTCTTGGTATATTAAAACCTGTTTTTATGTTATGGTCACTTAAAACCAATCCAAAGTATAATTAGAACTGAACTTTCAATGATTTTAGTGATTCAGCATCTTAAGCTATTTGCTTTGAATCGAGTCTTAATAGGGGATTTGTTTGAATAAGAATTGGTAAGCACAAAGCAAGATTTACTAAATTATGGAATTTCCAAGTGAAGCTACTTCATTTAGTTTGAAATAAAGTCCACATCATATTGCTGATGTCATTTTTCACTATTGCAACCTCTGGTAGAAATGTTTTCTTCTGAATGAGAAGAAAATTTAAGTTGCTGACAGTTTATAAGCCCAGAAAGTACATCACTTTAAGCTGCAAAAATGAAGTGTTAACATGTACATTCTAGACCCATTCAAATTTGTGTGACTGAAATGATTATTTATCTCTGTAAGACTCATTAAATATGACATCTTTTTAACTTAAATGGTTGCCTGAAAATTATCTTATTACCTTCTATGTTCAAATGAGGGTATGAGTCATGAAGGATAATGAATAGATCAAAGTACCATCCCACTTCTAAATGTTAAAAATTTGGAATTATTAGTGCCTTATTATGTCACCTATTTTCTTTAAATCAATCTCAGTAGCAGACCAGACCAGACTCTCTTGTAGAATTTTTTGAAAGTCATTACTTAAAATATGTCTTTTAGAGTTTTTATTTTTCAAGTGGATATTTGACTTTAAGGGATAGATATAGACTCAGACTATAGTCATTTAAAGAAATTATACATTTAAAGAAATTATATCAATTATCTTCTGTGATTTCTTATTTTTCAAGTAAGGATAATATGGCTCTTAGTCATGGAGATAGGACATTAGTATAATATCCAGTATTTAGTAATATTTACTTTCACCCAAGGCCTAAGTACTCAATATGTGTGATATGACTTAATCCTCTTAATGATCCGTGAAATAAGTATTATCTTCTCTTCATTCCATAGCTGAGGAAATAGATAAGATAGCTCTCCCAAGTCAAACAGCTTGTTAGTGGCAAATAGAGACTGCAATTCCAAGCATTTGACACCTGTGGTCTCTGACTTTTACATCTAGAAAGTGACATCTTTCGGCCGGGCGCGGTGGCTCAAGCCTGTAATCCCAGCACTTTGGGAGGCCGAGACAGGCGGATCACGGGGTTAGGAGATCGAGACCATCCTGGCTAACACAGTGAAACCCCGTCTCTACTAAAAAATACAAAAATAGCGGGCGAGTGGCGGGCGTGCTGCTAGTCCCAGCTACTCGGCGAGGCCTGAAGGCAGTGAAGAATGGCGTATCCCCGGGAGGCGGAGCTTGCAGTGAGCTAAGATCCGGCCACCTGCACTCCGCCTGGCGACGGAGCGACGCTCCGCCCTCAGGAAAAAAAAAAAAAAAAAAAGACAAAAGTGACCATATTTCTCTTTACATCTAGAGAGTGACAAAGCCGATTATAGCCCTAGGCCTTCTGTGAACTCGATTCATCTTCTATTCCCTCTCAGCCTCAGTGGATTGTCGTACCACCCTCGCACCCACAACATCATTCTGTTCAGTGACATAATAATTATTCGTTTAGGACTTATCTTTTTTCTTGTACTTGAAGGTAAACGTTGCCCTGAAAATAATTTCTGTGCTGGGTGTCGGGTGTGGTGTGTGTGCTTGTGTTTTGTGTGTTGGTGCTGAATGTGTTTTTCTCTTTTCTATGTATACGTGATTTATATTAATATCAGCATATGTTTCCCCTTATCCTTTGGTTAGCTTACCTGCATTTTTATCGTTCCAGTATCAAAGGTATCCTTTAAATACTATTTGGGCATGTCAACTGCAACGAATTCTACTTCTAACACACATCTCTGTGAATCTCCTTTGGGCAGTTGCTTTATAGATGTAAGTAATGTTACTTTCTTATCGAACATAGAAACGTAACGGTATCTGTAGAATAGATATTCCTGTATAGAGCAGCACATAATCATCTTTACTTAAACTCCAAAACGTGCTAATATTAAGATATGTAGGAGGTTTTTTTTTTTTATTTTTTTGCCTCTTAAATACAGTTGAAACAGTCTCTTCTACTGAATTAATGTAAGTCCATTGAATTTGAACTTCAGGTCTTATATAGTCATAATTCTTTATTGAGCAGATAGTTGACTAACTCATCAGTAGGACACAATTTTATACACCGTTTTAGTTAACCAAATCTTAGTTTACATTGTCTATTAGTTTTCAGACCTCAGAGTCTCAATGGCTTAAAACAATATGGTTTATTTCTTGCTGAAGCAATGTTTCAACAGGTGGCTATTCCATCACCCAAGGCTTTGTATGTTGTTCCCTAAATCTGCTCCATCTGCTGGACAAATAGTAAAGGCAGACAGCACAGAAGATCATGTGGACTATTTTAGGGGGTAGGCCTGGAAGGAATATACATTATTTCTGTACATATTCCATTGATTAGAACACTTATACTGCCCTACCCAGAGTCAGGGACCATGGATGCTGGGAAATGCAGCCTTCCTAAAGGAAGAAACAGAACTACAAAACATCCAGCCAGTCCTAGATAGAGCTTGGTTTCTCAACATTCTCCATTGAACAAAATATGCGTGTGTTTATAGACTTGCCTATGACAGCCCTTCACCCTCTGGCTGGATCTAAAAGGAACATTAGAATGTACAGTGGCATAATTAACTTTCTCCAACTACTAAATCTCAATATGAAATTATGAAAAGTAAATATCCTATATTTACTACAAATAAATGTTTTCATTTTATTCATACTTACTTTTCTATTTTACTATGTATGGTATAAATTTTTAAAAGCACAAAAGAATTCTTTTGAAATTCAGGAAGAAAATGGTAGTTTGTTAAAATAGTTATAAATTTGGAAAAAGCTGCCTTAAAATTTTTAGGGTGATAGGGATTTTATATATGCTTGTTCTGTGAAAGCAGTGCTAGATACGTACAAATTCTTAGTATTTAGTAATTGATGATGGCAATATCTAGGTTAGATCCAAGTAAATACCTGGAATATTGCCTAACGTCCTCCATTATCAGGGCTAAAACATGTAAATGTTTCATCTCTGGCCATAGAGAAAAGTCAGGAATTGAAGAAATTCTGCTCACCTTTGGTTCTTCTTTTAAAACTGTAAACACAATTCTATGCCCATTGTCTAGTGGATGAAAATGCTTTTACCTGCCATGTCCACTGTTGAATATAGATCTTATACATTTACATAATTTGTTGGATATAACATCTACATCTTATCCTGATAATTAGTTTCTAATCTTTTAACCAAAAATAATTGGCATACTTAAAATTATAATCTAATGTGGAAACAATTTTCTTAATGTGGATGCGATAATTTTTTTTTCAGAAACGTAACTATTTAGAACAAAAAGTCTGATATAGTCAGTTAATCTAAGACACAGGTATTAGTCCTGTTACTCACATTACAGTCTTTCTTCAAGTGTGGTCTACAAAATGCTTTGCTTCTGAGTCATGAGTCTTGTTAAAAATGAAGTCCTGGGCCTTGTCCCAAATCCCCTTTTATCAGGATTTCTGTTGATAGAGTTCAGAAACTTGCATTTTAACAAGCATCTCTGAAAACAACTTCACTTTATACACAACACAGGGGTTCACTGTTGTAGAAGAAAATCAATATTTGATTTTAAAATACTTAAATTTTCATATAATATATGAAATATATTTACAGGAGTCTTTTAGGTTGATGATTATAAAATAAATTTAAAGAGCATAAGGTGAAAAGACATAGTTTAATATGAAGTATAATGAGTCTCTCTAGCAAGTAGCTGAAATATTCTGTTCAATGCAATGCTAATTGCGTTAGCCTAGAGAACACCTAAGATCTGACACATTCATTAGGGCTTAGCACTCAACCTATTAATCACTACTGTGGGGTCACTGAGTAAGACAGAGCGTGTTCAGAGGCCTGGCCTGTGATGTCAGGACTGGAGTCTCTTGTAGTAATTAGTTGGCATCTGGGCTTTGGTAGCAAGCTATTATCTTCCCTTCTGATGTCTGAATTAAAAATGAAACTAATGAAAGGTTTGCAGGAAGGATGGAAAAGAATGCAAATTATGTTTATACCTTACTTCATCCTTAGAATAATGGCATTAAAATACAGCAACCCATCTGGATGTCCATATGTTCTCCTGGAGGTCTAGCAAATTTTAGCTAATAGGTCAAACAGTATGGTCACCCCATTAATAAAGCACTAAGTAGAGGTAGAAAACAGAATTTAAACTTTCTACACTGTTTAGAAGGACATAGGGTTTTATTTTGTGAATAGCGATTACATAGGATTGTCTTTAGTACAATATTTGTTTTTGTATTCTATTGAATGATAATCTATACATGGTTACCTATACAGTTACTGACTACAGATTTTGGACTGCCAGTTTCTATGAGTACTTTATGTGACTTTGCTGATAAAAATCCGTTCTGACTTGGAAGAATCAGCCATTCTGGAGAGAAGAATTAGCTTTGTCTCCATGGTAACTTATTTTTCTGTTTTATGTGAATAGTGAAGGCCAATTGTGTGAAAGTAAGGGTAATAGTTTTGTGATGTACTACTTTACACAGGGATTGAACATTAGAACACTGAGCTTATTTTACTGGAGGCCAAGAAGCAAAAGGCTTTAACATAGCAGGTTGGTGGTCATAACATCAAATATGTATTTTTCTATTCTCTTAAAATTTTAAATAAGCTCAATATATTATTCTGCATTGTGCGCCAACTATTTGCAGAATGAGGGAGGCTCATTAAATTAATTCATACTGGCAATGTCTTAGCAACAATAAAAAAGAAAGTCATTCCATTCCTGTGTTTGAGATAAGCTAGGGCTTTCATCTTAGATTTATAAAAAGCACAAAGGTACGAGGTACACTTTGACAGCCTGTGC